CCCACTCTTCTGTACTGTACTACTCTCAGTTCTGCGTGCTGCAGTACTTTTCTTCTCCAAGTTCTGGAAGATACCAAATCTTCTCGAATATCCATCTTACCATAATCTTTGCTAATGATAAATAGAAATCTTCTTCTTCTTAAATCTTCTCCAAGCTAAGTATATTTTCTGTCACTTAGCTTGTAGATTCGTTCTCCAAGGCTTTAAGTCGTGAGCCCAAGCTCATCTCTTCAAGCCCGATCCGTTTCTCTATCAGTTGTCCGTTTGTAGCACTTTCCTGTAATACTCTGCACTGATACATGAACTGCTTCAACTCAGCTACATTTTCATGTTTCAACTGCTTTACCATCACCTTCTAACTCATTAGATGAACAATTATATCAACTCATTTGAATTCTAAAACTCATTCAACCATACACTTTCAATAACCACTTTCGATAGACATAGTTGTATTTTCTTCAAGTGAATGATATTACATGGCTAGTAACTACTTTTTCAATAACGAGTCCACTAAATAGTATGTACGCATTTTATATACGAAAATTAAAACAGTACTCTAATTATAAACTTGTTTTGTGCCGGATACAATCTAAAATAATATAACACAAATAGTCTCCACATTTTTTTTGTGAATTTTCAATTTTGAAAACCTTTAGTAAGTTTTTTTAACTTGTCTAAAATAAAAACATGTGACATAAACAAAAAAAAGCTATAAGCCGTTAAAATAAAAACAAAGATAACCTAAAATCCCTAAAACTAAAGTAAAAGAATGTGATGTGAATCATGTGACTTTTGTTTTCTTATATGAATCATGTGATTCAATCATGCATGTCTTACAAAATTAATCTTCATTAATAGTTTTGGTTACTAATTATAAAAAGAGAAGCAGTATTAGTTTTGTGTGTTAACATTATTGTTTAATCTTTCTTTTAAAGAGTAATCTTTTGCGAGGTTTTTGTCAGTTTATGAGTAATCTTTTGCTAATAAGCACACGTAAACATGTGCATATACAAGTGGGGACCACACTGACACGAACCATTCCCGCGCCTTCCTTGATAGCGAATACGATCTCCACCGCTTGATTTTACCCTTCCCTTTATTCTCCACCGTTGGATCATCTTCTCTCTCTCTCTCTAGCTTTTATGGGGATCACTTCTCTGCTTTTGGATCTTCACTTTGCTGATTCACTCTTCTACTGATTTTTTTACACACA